TCTTTCCCTTTTGAATCTGCTCAGTGACCGACAGGAATAAAGAGGGAGCTTCCAGCTCCAAGACGTGGGATTGTTTCTCCTTTTCTTTCTTCCTTTCTCTCTAACCCTGGCCCTGGCGGAGGCGGGCGGGCAGGTCCAGCCGCATGTCTGCGGGCTTGGAGCTGGTGCCTGCTCCGCTCGGGATCCGGCGGGAGGAATCTCAGGTCCTGCAAGCGACTGCACTGCTCTGTGCCTGTTTCCACCCCCTCCCCCCTCCTCCTTGTTTGTTTTAGTTACGAAATGGTGTAGGGGTCTCGGCGGTGGCTGAGTAACCTTGGGACGGGCTGTGCTGACTGGCAGAGCCGAATCGGGGAGCCCGAGGCACTTAGCACCTTGCGAAAAGTCAAGACATGAAGTGTGTGGGCGCGGGGCGGCGCCGGGCCGCGGCCGAGCAGGCCGGGTGATGGTCCCGGGAGCCCGCGGCGGCGATCTGCCCCCTTGCCGGTGCCAGGGAGGCTTGGGCGAGGACCAGCAGGCGGAGAGGTAAAGGTGTGTAAACAGCGTGTTCTCCCCCTGCCCCGGCGGTGCGCGCTCCCCGCGGCCAGGCCCAGGGCCCCGCGCCTCCGGCTCGGGCCCGGGCACCGGGGGGCAAGGGCCAGGGCTAGGAAACTCAGGTCTCTCTCCCTGCCTCGGCCCTGCTCCCCTCCGGGCCAGCCGGCCTTCTTCTTGCCCCTGACCCCGCTGCCCACCTTGTGGCACCGCTCAGCGTTTTCTTTCCCGCTACTTTTTTTCCTCCCCTGCTTTCCTATTCACCTCCTTGTTTCCTCTTTCCTTGCATCCTGCTTCATATTTCCCTCTTCATGCCTCCCCCCACATTCCTCTCTTTTCTCCCCCTCTCACTCGTCCTTCCCCTTCGTTCCCATTTCTTCCCCTACTCTTCTTCCCTCTTCCCTTCTTTTATCCTTCCTTCCCCCTTCACTCATCTTTCTTCCTTTCCCATTCATCTTTTTCCCCTTTCCTTTCCTTCCCGGATCCCATCCCTTCCTTCCTGCCCCTTTCCCTTTCCCCCTCCACTCATCTTTCTCCCTTT